GTACCTAGGCACAGCTAAGACTAAATCTCCTTTAAGCGTGAATGGGAATCGAAACCCATGGTGTTATGCAAGAGGCAACTTGCAAAAGTTTCTAGCTACCAAAGGCACGATTAAATGAAATTAATAGAGGTTCAAGAGCTACCTTAATTCAAGCTTGATGGGTAGACCATATGGAGTACTGATTAAATTTATAAACTAAAAAGATGTGATCGATTTGGAGTTCGTTTCTTTTGGAATCTTGCTGTTATAATCCAATTTTTATTTTGAGAAAGCAGTAGGATCATGTTGTGCCATGGGCCATTACCTGTGCTCCCTTTTAAATTATTGTTGTTTTTCCTCTCTCTTTTTTTTTTAAAAAAATAAAAATAAAAATTCTAGAGTATGCACTCATCAAGTTAGGTAAATTTCCAATGGAGCATGATTTGATGGTAAGTAAGCATGAAGCCATTAATCATTTTTCACATAAAATGGTTAAGCACATTGACAAAGATAGCGATGCCATATAATGCAGGTTACTGTTAGAAATTAGGGTTTGGCCAAGCTTGCCATAATTAATATTTGGAAGTAGTTCAAAAACCCATAATCATTCTTCGTATAGAGAAAAAATTAAGTGAAAGATTAGAGTTACCAATGGACTGTTGAAAAAAAATGTGTTATATATTTATTTGTCCACTTATAAAATAATTTTTATATTTTAAATATTAATTTTAGATACTTAGTTTTTATATAAAGATTTTATTATTTGTTTCTCTTAGCATCATATGTTAGTCAAATAAAATTTCTCTCTCTCTCTCTCTTATACACACACACACACTTTTCTTTCCCCGTGATAATATCATTGTTTTTTTTCCCCTTAAGAACATCCTTTATTTCTATTAGTATTTTCAAACTTATCTACTATAATTTAATCAAAAACCCATTAGACAGAACAATTTAATTTTTTTTAAACTAATTATCAGTCAACTCTTATTTAGGACTCACTTGTGTGACTTAATAAAAAAACCCACTTGCTGAGAAAAAAAGTTGCCAATAAATCTTCTTTACAGTGCTATCCCACTCCTTAGATATTTTGAATTTTAATAAAAAAAATTTAACCTACACATATGGAAAAATCCAAAAATGATATAAAATACGAGTTATCCTCCATTCAACCCAACGTGAGGAGGACTTGTCGATGCTGGCTTGGTTTTTTTGTTTCCCTTGTGAGATCTTCGTGGTAAAAAGCAGGATAAATACACCTTTGGCCCTTATAGATTGAGCAATATATCATTTTGGAGCCTATTAAAGATTTCGTTCTTATTGTCTCCCTTTAAAATTATTAAGTATCAAATTGTTATAACTATCAAATTATTATAATAACTAGTGCGAAAAAAATAAAAAATGAACACAGATTAATTAGAGATATGTACAAGAACAACCTTCGTAAAAGAGAAATGTATATTTTTAGTAATTAGTTGAATGTTTTGGGTTTTATTGAGACTATTTCGTATTATAGTAATAATTATTTTTAAAAATATTTATTATTTAAAAATATTTTAAAATAATATTTTAAAAAATAATTATTTTTAATATTAATATCAAAGAATCATTTCAACACAATAACTTAAACCGCTAAATGGGGTCAAATAAATAAAAATAATAAAATTTGAATTCATGATCACTTAATTATCAAAACTCTAATATCATATCAAATAATCTTCTTATTCTAATAATTTAAACTGTTATGTAAAATTTTAAAATATAATTTATATTATTTTTTATTAATCAAGATATAAAAATAATATAAAAAAATTAAAAAAATTAATTTGAAAAAAAAACATTTTTTTCTACTAGAAATACTTTTGAGATGTAAAAAAACAAACAAACTATGAAAGCCCTCCTTCCTAATTAATTAATTAATCCAGTAAGGAACTATATATATATATATATTCGTGCAAGTACGATAAAACTAAACATTTGTGAGCATAAACAACACAATGAGCCCATAACCTCATGAGTTTAAATTAAACCAAAAATCTTGAGGTTTTCTTTTTATTTAGCCTTAAAAGTACATAGTCACGTAGCATAGGACAAGGGTTAAAAGATTAAAACAACCAAAAAAGACTCTATGCGTGTTGGGGAGAATCACATCTTTCTTTTTAGTTAGTAACGTGAAAAAATTAAGGGGAAAAGATTAATGCCAAGAATGTATTATTAGAGTAATTTTTTGCCCATGATGCAATAAATTAAAATGATTATCCTGGCATTAAAGAGTCATCGTTCTTTGTTGTTATCTAGCTAATAGCCACGTGACCTCGTTAATTAATTTTCCTTTCTCAACTTGCACAAGTACCAAAATAGTACGGACATACATATACTGTATGCATGTATATGTATATGTGTGTGTGCATGTATATATCTGTGTGTGAGATTGTGTGATTGTGTGTGTGTGTTTATGCAAGTGCTTGTAGTGGCAAACAGATTCGTCCTCCGATCAGAAATAAGATATACAATTTGGATATGTAAAAGTTATTCGAGAATATATCTTGTACGTTGGAAAAGAAAAGAAAAGGATGAATGAAAGTCGTTGATGAGTCTCATAAATCAACATAAATAAGACTTTTGGAAATGATTTCGATCTTTTAATAAAAAAAAATTAGAGAGAAAGTAGACATTTAAAGAAAAATTGTTAAGGATTGAGATATTTAAATATAAAGAATATTATAAAAAATGAATTAAAAATAACTACGTAATATACTGACTTTTCATGATTATTCGAGGATGTTTATTTCATAATCGAAGAATAGAAATTTTAAAATAGTAAAAATCAATATGATTTAATTTTTAAAAAACTATCAAATCCAAATTTTAAATTCATTCAGTCCTCATCCAAATAAAATGTACCTAGGTTTTATGCACCTAGGTAACCTAAAGTTATGCACTTAGGTTTTATATCTCACAAAATCTAATGATTTTGCCAAACAAGTCAAATCTAATTCCCATTGATAAAAACTAAATTAAAAAAAAAATACATGATACACAAATTCATGTCCCCGACAAAAAAGATCATCTCTTCTCTTTATAATGTGGCATTAGAGCTATTAATTATTAATTATGAGAAGATTTGAAGTGAGAACATTACACAAGAAGAATTACAAACCCTATATTAAATCTTAGTCATTAAGAAAAACAGAAAGATTAAAGGCATGATGATGGAAGGAAGTCCTTTGAAATTATTTCTTTCATGGCTTCATGTGTTAGTTAGTGAGCAATTTGGATTCCCTCTTGGACACAATCGGAGTGTGTCCTAAAGCTCCCAACACCGCCTTGCATGGAGTAATCCTGGCTTTAACCCCCAAAAAATTGCATCAGAGCCGCTCATAGATTCCAAAAGCTATTTAGTTTCTGCTTTTTTTTGTCTTCGTAAAAGCTTAATTCTGGAAGCTGGAAACGCTTGAATACCTTCCTTTCCACTTTGTGGTTATTCTTTGATTACTTCTTTTTCTTATTTAAAGGCACCGATAAGTTTAACAGAGGGGACCGCAAGCACACACCATTAGAGTCCTCTCGAGCTTTTCTCATCCTCGTAAGTGGGATTTTTAATTTATTCCTTGAGAATTCAAAAGGATACTTGTTTATTTATTTACTCGAGGAACTTGAAGGTGGGTCTTCCTTAATTGCACCTAAATTAAATGGCATGACTTAAAATAAACAAAAAAGGTTCAGTGGTCCGGGCTGGCTGGACATGCATCTTGCAAACCTTTGAGCATGATTAACATATTCAACCAGCTGGAAACATTTACAAATCATAGTTTACCATTTCAGTAAAGAAGAGCCAACTCCATTCCTCTTGTTAAGTATTTATTGGAGGGAACGGGAAATTGTGTTTTCTTTTTTTCTGAATAATTATCTCTTTAAAAATTTATTTAAAATAGAGTTGTGTTATTTTAAACAAGAATTGTGTATTTTTAAAGAGTTATATATGATGATTTTGTAAAACAGAAAATTAAAATTATATGGAGAGAATTCTGACAAGATTGTTTTTTTTTTAAATTCTTCTCTTCTACAAACTTTTTTAGCGGAGAATAAGGTATAAATTTTGGTTCTTTGTTTACTATTGTATGTGCTGATAGGAATAAAAAATGAAATAACTTTAAAAAACAATATTGCTATCAATAGGCAATAAATTATTTTAAAGTTAAAGGATTGATTCTTGCCTCTATTTATATCTATTTTTGTTAACAAGTACTATAAATTAACTTTTTTTTTTACATGTTTTATACACACACACATAAACCAGACCCATCAAAGTAAGGAGTAACAACAAGAACCACTCAAATTACAATAGATATGGCCACGTGGGAGTACATTTTACGCAGAAAAGGGGAGGCTTGAATTTCATAAAAATACTAACTGCTTACCAAGGGCTTTGCAGAAATGAACTTGTAGAATGGCAAACGGGGGGCGCAAAATATGATGGTAAATCGTACATATATATCAATTGTATTAAATTTGCCCATCACACAAAGCCTTAAGATGCATGATCATAAACATCTCCTCATGAACATGAACATGAACATGAACATGACAACCTAAAACATTCGTCTTATGAGTTTCGATTCTTAAAAAAAATAAAATAGCAGCTACATATACTAAAATCAAATGTTGTACTATTTCATGAGGCATCCATGATGCAGGCAATGTACCTCAGTGCCCATATTTTATTAGAGAAACCTTTATTCACATAAGAGAACAAAGATGTCCTAACTTGCTGAGGCACAATACAAAAGAAAAGGTAAGAAAATTGTCCTTGGTTTCAATAATCACTGTGTTGAATATATACTCTAATTAATAATTTATTTCTAGGGTCATTGACTTTAAATGGAGGAGGACAGGATTTGACAATCACCATTCGTGGAGATAGCAAAAAATGAAGTGGACATAGCATTCCACATCTACTATTACTATACATTGAAGCTGTAGTTGGAGCAGCGTCATAAATCATTCAAGACCTAGGGATCTACAGGTCCATGCTTTTTAGATCCTTTGTTTTTTTTCATGTCCCAATGCAACCATTTTCTCTGCTCTAATTCCATCCTCTCTGCAAAGCAATAGTTCCAATGCCATGGCCGAGGATCCCTGACCAACAACCTCTTCACCATGACTGTACACAGCTTTGGAATTTGTAAATATTATTTAGGTATTTTGTCTGTTTTTCATTTACTCTGTAATATATACTATATGCAATATTCTTAGGGGTATGCTTACGTATAATGAAAACAAACAAAGATTTCGCTGCTCATATTCTTCTTGTGGTGTTGTTTCTTTTTTGGCATTGCAGTTGTTTGTGTAAGCAAGCGAAGACTGAAGGACCCATCTTTGGAACTGGTCTGTTTTTTGTGTTGTTAGGTTAATTTGTTTACTGATCTTGTCTCTATAGCTAGCAAGCAAACATGTGCCCTGGTAGTGGTGGCAGTGATACAGAATCTCGAGGGGTTATAATTTGTGATGATTTGATTTCAAAAAATGGAGGAGGAGGAGACTACAAGAATGAAGATACAATGAGAGTAAGAGAAGAGGTCATGTTTGTACATGGTCTTCTCAGACGGTTTAGTGTCAATGGAAATGCAGGAAGGTTGCCACTGCAAGAGGCAAGTTTTCCCCTCTCTCCCTCTCCATATCTCTCTCTCTCTCTCTCTCTCTATTTATGTGTGTGTGGGTCTTGCTTGTGTATGCATTTCTCCTTTTCAAGAAGTAATGTCTTAGTCTTAATGACATTAGTGAAATTGAATTGGGGGACATACTGCTTGTTTCTAAACAAGGTAGCAAGCCTCCTCCTCCTCCTCCTCCTCCTCCTCCTCCTCCTCCTCCTCATTGAAATAGGTGTCCAAAAAAGGTTAACTTTACTCCTTTCCAATCCTCAATCTTGGCTGTCATCGTTTGTGTTTGGACACTGTAATGTTGCGTTCTTTCTCGGTTTTGTCTGTCTTTATCAATGGATGTGAAGAGTAGAGAACCTTCTTCTTTTTTTAACTGAACTCAGTACTTAGGACATAGGTTTTTGAAGTTGTATGATCATTTGTTGACAAGAAAGAAACCTCAAAAAATAGACATTACCTTACTTTTCAGTGCTTCAAATTTTGGGCTGACACTTTAGAAACAGAGATTTGCTCAGTTACTTTTTTAGAAACCAAAATCATGTTGCCACCAATTTTGTATTGTCATCATAAGAATAAGAAGATACCCATGCAATGCACTACCGCATTTTCTGGTCGGTGGCGAATACCAACATAGGCTTATAATACGTACGGCTAGGGACTGTTATTAAACCCAGGCCTGACCTGATTTAAAATATAAATGAATAAGAGTGAATTTAGTATGATTTTATCAACATTATAAGTTGATTTATTATAGGTTTAACTCATTCAAAATTTAATTTGACTTAAAAAATAAATATTTTTATAAAAAAATAAAACTATTTTGTTTTGTTTGATTAACCCAGGTAAACCTATTATGATTAAATCTTGGGTGAGTCAAGTTAGATTTAATAATTTTTTATGTAACATATAATATAATTAAGAAATAAAAAATCATATAATATTTTCTTTTTTAACTTTTAAAGAAACCATGGCCAATGAACTACCTTAAATCTCAAGAAAAATGACATTGAACAACTTTGCTGATACCCCCTCTCTTTATTCATTTGATTTTGTTTCAAGTCAGGTCAAAAGTAGCTTCTACTATTTTTTTTTATTAAATTTTTATGGGTTTTGAACAACATAATAATATAGCTTTTTCTTATCCCTAAAATTCCAAATATTTTTTTTTTATTTAATATCCTATGTGGAAAGAAACTCCTTAATCACACTTTTCATCATTACACAGTCCTTTTGATATTGCAAGCAAGATTATAAAAAGTAACATAAAAGATTTTATAATGGAAAGTTCAATCAAAGCTTTATTATGAAAAATATGCTTAACTATGGTATTTATATTTATATTTCATAACACAACATTTTTTTAAATAATAATAATAATAATAATTTGGGGTAAGGTCGCATAAAACACTAAGGTACCTTTGATGCAGCTAGCTTGCATGCTTTATGTCCAACATGTAGAAATTTCACCAATTCCATTTTGTCAAATGGGCTCGTTACTTTTTTGGGTCTGTCATTTAATCTTCAAATCCACTTGATTGATCAGAATATTAATTTGATAGGGTATGTAATTGTTTGAGGGTTGCGGTGCAATTATTTTTATTAGAATTTGAATTTAAAAAAAAATTAATTTTTTTAGTATTTTTATATGTTTGATTTCAAAAATAAATAAATAAAAAATATTATTTTGATACATTTACAATCAAAAAATATTTTTTGAAAAAAAACATTTGCTAAACTCTCAAACACCCCACAAGTAAATGTTGTCCATTCATGCTTCATTCAGTGTTCAGTGATATAGATTTAATCATATCATACACAACACAACATGATCATGATGGCTTAATACCAAATCTGAATATTGTAGAAACCTCCTTGATATTATAGTGGACTATGCCAACTGATAAGGGATAATTCCTTGACATGAACATTATGGATTCTTGCAGGTGGGAGAAGAGGTGGTGTCTCTAGCCAAGATAGCATGCCCTATAATAATGACAACTCTGCTTATTTTCTCAAGGTCCATTATATCTATGCTCTTCTTGGGTCATCTTGGGAAAAATGAATTAGCAGGAGGGTCACTAGCACTTGGGTTTGCAAACATCACTGGCCTCTCGGTGCTGAAAGGCTTAGCCATGGGAATGGATCCTATCTGTGGACAAGCGTATGGGGCCAAGAGATGGTCAGTTCTTGGCCAAACCTACCAGAAAACTCTCTGTCTTCTGATTCTTGTTTGTATTCCCATCTCCTTATTATGGCTAAATGTGGAACCAGTCTTTATACGCCTAGGCCAGGATCCAGATATCACTCATGTTGCGAAAATTTATCTGTCCTCCTGCATTCCTGAATTAATAGGTCAAGCTGTTCTTCACCCAATGAGATCCTTCCTTAGAACTCAAGGTTTGACAGCTCCTCTTACTGTAGCTGCAGTAGTTGCATTGATCCTCCACGCTCCAATCAACTACTTTTTGGTAATATACTTGAAGATGGGGGTAAAAGGGGTTGGGTTAGCCCTTGCTTGTAACACGTTAAATTTAAACTTAGGCTTGCTGATTTATGTCATAGTTTCCAAAACACCATTGAAACCTTGGCATGGGGTTACAGCTCTCTCAATCTTCAACAGCTGGTGGCCATTGCTATCACTAGCATTACCTAGTGTCATCTCTGTATGCTTGGAGTGGTGGTGGTATGAGATCATGCTGTTTCTTTGTGGCTTACTCCGCAACCCGAAAGCAAGTGTGGCAGCTACAGGCATCCTCATTCAAACAGCGGGTATAATCTACTCGTTTCCATTTTCCCTGAGCATCGGTGTATCTACGCGAGTTGGCCATGCATTGGGCGCTGGACAACCGTCTCGTGCGCAATGGACAACAATAATCGGTATCTGTCTCGCATTCACATTCGGCCTCTCCGCATCTGTTATCACATCAGCCCTGAGATCAGTGTGGGGGAAGCTGTATACCGACGAGCCACAGATTCTTGACTTGATCTCAACTGGACTTCCACTACTCGGGTTATGTGAGCTTGCCAACTCTCCGCAAACAGCTGCCTGCGGAGTTCTAACAGGCACTGCCCGTCCTAAAGATGGCGCACGAATAAACTTATATTCCTTCTACTTAGTTGGATTGCCGGCTGCAATTCTCCTAACTTTCAAATGTAAAATTGGTTTTCCGGGGCTATGGTTTGGGCTATTAGCAGCACAGATTTGCTGTCTATGCATGATGCTGTATACTGTGGTTCAAACAGATTGGAGGCACCAGGCTAAAAGGGCTGAGGAGCTAACTGCAGCTATGGAAGAAAATGATGACAACGACAACGACGAGATAGGGGATGATTTGGAAACAGGATTGCTTGCAACTGTTAATTGATTCCCCAAAATGAAGTTGGTGAACAGGCAACATCTAACAAAGAGAGTCAGGCTAGATTATAACATACAAAATGAGCTAAAAACATATTATTGTGTTCAGAAACTACTGCAGGGTGATCCATGTTTTTGATACTGGAGAAAAACAAAGAAATACTCTGTTAAAATTGATTGAATGATATATTGAATCATGTCTTAGAAACAGGAGCATAATTTACTTCTTAACTGATATATTTGTATATGTAAAAGCGGAAACCTACAGCTGCTAGATTCCACGAATTCCCTATCGTATGTCACATTCATGGTCCAAACTAACAAGGGAAAAGGCCTCGAGGTTTTGGAAACAAAAATAGAAAACAGAACAGTGAATGATACCCAAAACTCCTTTAATTGTTCCAAAACCATTTTGTTAAATGTAAAGAAGAAATGTGCAAATTTTAGTATTACATACAATCCTCAATCAAGTCTGTTAACTATGTTCACATGCATTAGCTGATTATAAGTTCAGATCTAGGAAATTACGAGAAAGCAAATATTATTAGAGTGAAATTGACTGCCTTGGATCTGTACTCGTCTTTGAATTCCTACCGTTCATAGTGGCAGTGTGTCCCGAACTTCCGGTCCTCTTTTAGGAGACAGATCATCTGTATTTGGGAACTCCGGTCACTTCCTTTAACTAACGAAACGTCATGGCACGACATCTTATTTGGACCACATCGGCCTACGGCCTACATCTAGGGGCCCAGATTATATTTTCAAGTTGAAGTAGTAATGAGTTATGTTCTGTACTGGACCGAAAACAAAAACACACGAACAAGTATATTTACATGGTTGCGTAAATCGAGCACATCAAATCAACCTATGACCTACATTTAAGGGCCCAAATTTTAATATGCTTTATGTTTTTATGTTTAATGTAGTATTGAGTTATGTTCGGCATACTGTATCTAAAGCTACCACTAACAAGCATATTTACATAGTTTCTCAAATTAATCATGTCCATCTCAAATAAACTATATGCACATAATAGTAGATTATATATTACTAGAGAAATAATATAAATATTTAATTTAATTATAATATAATTATAAAAACTTAATTTTTCATTCTTACACTTGATTCTTCTTTTAATTTTTTTTTTTCTTACTCTCAGCTCACTTATACTTATTAGATATTTTTTTTATGTTGTACACTCTTCTCCTTTTTTATCTATACAAAAATGAAATGAACCTATTTATATGGACCAAATGAATCCATTATGATAATGATTAAAGGTTCGAAGCTAGAGAGTTAAAGTGATAATTATAAGTTGGAGGTTGGCATAATTATAGAGATATAATTATAAGAAAAATCTAGACAAACTTTCATAAATCTTCACCTTGCTAATTTTTTCCATTCAATTCTAATGATCATCAACATTGTCTTTAATGCATTATATGACGCCATGCATTCTAAGGATGCTTAACACTAAGAGATGTTGTCAAAGTCCACACAGTGTTAGAACTTGATCCCTAAGATAACTTTCATGCATATTAGCAGGATTATCTACAATGTCATTTTTCCATGGTAGAATATCCTTGTTTATCACAATTTTTCAAACAAAATAAAATTGAACATCAATCAGGAATGATGAACTTGTTTTTTTACAAGAAAAAATAGCATTTTGACTATCACAATATGCATTCATGTGTTCTTAAACAGTTCACAAGTCTTCAATTAACCCATGTAACTAAATAACTTCTTTAAAGGATTTTGTTACTACTATGTACTCTATCTCAGTTGTTGACAAAGCTATTGTTGACTATAATGTTTACCTCTAACTTAGAGGCCTTTTAGCAAGTATAAACACATAGGCAATTATGAAACAACACTTGTTTAAGTCACTAGCATAGTCTGAATCCACGTAACCAACTAAATTTTTATATTTAAGCATATCATCTCTCTCAAACTTTAAATCAATATCAGTTGTGTCATGACTGTGTTGTAGAATCCACTTTATTATTTGTGGGTAACCCTTTTCTGAATCATGCATATAACTACTCACCATGCTAACAAAATGTTAAATATTTGGTATCATACAAATCATATCATATATTAATGTAACAATTATATTTTCATAAGGGTTTTGAGCCATATACTTAAGTTCATCCGTTGTGCATAAAAACATTGAAACACTTTGCTTAAAATAAGAAGCTAAAGGTGTGTGACAAATTTAATCTTGCCATTTACCCTAAATCTCTGTAGGATTTTTTTTAAGTATTAACTTTGTGTTAAGTAGACTATATATTTCCTTTTGTCTCTCTGAATTTCCATATCATAAATTTTATTAACTACTCCAAGATCCTTCATCTCAGACTCGCTCCTCAATTGAGCTTTTAGTTTATCAATTTTCACCTTTCTCTTAGAAGCAATCAATATTTCATCAATATATAAGAACAAATAGATGAAAGAATCATCAAGAAGATTGTAAAAATATACATAATGATTAAACTGACTTTATGTGTATCAGTGTTCTTCCATAAACTTGTCAAATTGCTTGTATCACTAGTGCAAAGACTGTTTTAATCCGTACAATGAATTTTTTAATTTACAAGCCCAATTCTCTTTCCTAATGACTTTGAAACCATTTAGATAGGACATATAAATTTTCTTTTTCAAATCTCCGTATAGGAAGACAGTTTTCACATCTAATTGGGCTAACTCAATATCAAACTATACAACCAAGGCTAGCAAACAAATTGATGAATGCATGATAACTGAAGAGAATGACTTATTATAATATATCCCCTCCTGTTGAGCATAACCTTTTATTATTAATCTTGCCTTGAATTGGATATTGTTTTTTTCAAGATTGTCTTTTTTTTTTGGTATAGATCCATTTATAACCAATTATCTTTTTTTTTTTTTTAAAGTTGTACCAAGTCCTAAGTCTGATTTTTGTAAATAAATTTCATCTCTTCATCCATTGTCTTTTCCTATTTTTTTACTTTTTACATTATGTGCTGCATTTTTATAGGTAAAGGAAATTTCATTATCAATCACTAAAAGTGCATAAACCAATGTGTTGCAATATCAAATTAAGCAAGTTTCATGATATCCTTTTTTGGTTTACTTATTGCAATGGATTGTTGTTATGTGGTTGCTTGAGTTATAGCTTTCTTTTCTTTTGAACTTTCATCTGAATCTTGTTTAGCACAAGAATGGTTGAAGTCTTAAACTCCACTTATAATGCGTCACTTAGTTGCTTCTCATTCTCCTATGATTTCTCTTGTATTAGCACTCCAGACTCGTTAAAAGTGACATCTTTACTTAAAATTATTATTTTTTATTTAGAACACAAGAGTCTATAGCCTTTTACTCCTCCATTAAAGCCTAGAAATACAACTTTCTTGGCTTTAGGATCTAGTTTGAACAACCATGTACACATATAAAGTCATTATCATTTGCAAGAGAACTCGACCATACCTCCAAGAAGGTTCTTACATTTAATTCATAGTTTTAAAATCCAACCAAGCCTGGCAGGTCTACTTGGGACTCGGCTGACCTGAGGCTAGAACCGAGCTAGGTTTATAAGAAAATATGGATAGTTAAAAACTCAGCTAACCTGACAGGTTAACTCGGTAATTCAGTTAACCCGACAAGATCCGGTTGTAACCCGTTGACTTTTTTTTTATTTTTTACTAAAATAACATCATTTTAATTTATATATATAAAGAAAAAGGGGTTAAACCAATCAAAACATGTGACTAGGCGTTGGACCTGGTCGACCACCAGGCTGGGTTTAAAAACATTGACTTATTGTTGTTGAAGACAACCAATTAATAATATGACGAGGAATGACTTGCCCCAAATGCTTCACTTAGTCTTAAATGTGATAGTATACATTAGATACATTGGATTTTCTCCATTATTGTACGATTCGTGCGTTTTACTAATCCATGCTATTATAGTGTTTTATGAATAGTAAAATATTGTTTGATCCCTTTATTCTGACAAACTTTAAAAAAGGATTTAAAGTGCATTCACTATTATTATCTGACCAAAGAGTTTTAATTCTCTTTCTAGTTTGAATCTCCACCATTTTTTTCAATTTCCAAAAGATACCATAGACTTCGTCATTGTGTTTCATCATATACACCTATACTAATCTTGAAAAATCATAAATAAAAGTAACAAACCAACAATCACCTCCAATAAATTCATTCTTTGAAGGTCGTTATATGCATGTGTGGACATAATCTAGAATTATTTTAGTGTTGTGTACTGTGATGCTAAACTTAACCTTTGTATCTTTTCCGAGAATAGAATGCTTACAAAACCTATGCTTCTTAGTATTGGTACCTTTTAATAGACTTTGCTTGAAAAACTTTGCATAGCATTTCATTAGCATGCTCTAAATGTATGTGCCAAAATCTGAAATTATAGGCATTATCATTTTATAAGCTCTTAGAAACAATTATTATACTAATAACTATAGACCTATCTAGGAAATATAAGTTTTCTTTCTTCGTGCTTCTTAAAACAACTAATGCATTATACATTGCTCTTACGATTCCATTATACATGATAATATTATAACCACTAGATTCTAAAACTCCAAGTAAAAAGAGATTTTTCTTTAAATCTAGTATATATCATACCTCTATAAATGTCTTGACTACTTTATTATGCATTTTAAGATGGATAGTCTTGATACCTTTTGATCTCTCAAACATCATCATTACCCAGCAACATAACTCCTCCATCAAACTCCTCAAATCTCTACAATAAATGTTTATTAGGACACATATGATAGGAACCTATAAAATAAAGAACTCATTCACTATAATTATTTTTTTATTAATGAGACCATGAATGCAAAGTCTTATTCATTTTCATCTCGTGCAACATTCATAATTGGTTCATCCTTGTCTTTGTTGCCCTTATTTAGACAATATTTCTCCTAATATCTTTTTTTATCATAAAAAATACATTCATCTTTTGCAAGATGTCATCTATTTAATGATTCTCCTTTTGATTTTGAGTGAGATTTCCTTTGCCCTCTAAATCTCTAGGTGCTTGTCATGCCTTTAAATATTAGTGCTTCTGATGTTGACTCCTAGTGAACAATTTAGTCTTTTTTTTTTATATTCATTAGTCACCAAACCATTAGACACGTCAATGAAACAATAAAGAGGTAATAAGATGTCAATATATTTTAGGCA